TGGGGAATGCGATGGAGAGGGGAGGGGGCGGCCTGGCTGTCCTGCTGGGGGCTGTAGCAGCCCCAGCAATATCGCTCTGTTCTTGTGCTGTCCCAGTCCCGGGCAGGAGGGCTGGGAGAAGGGAGTTGGAGGAGAAAATGCTGCAGCTTGTGGGAGAGCATAGGGGGCTGGCTACAGGGCTGGGAACAAGCTGCAGGGTCTAGGCCCATCACCCAGCCCCGGGGCTGGGCTGTTCCCTTGACCTCAGTCCCTACCTTCTCCCTGCTGCTTTTTGGTTTCAGCGGGCTTGAGGGTTGGGTCAGGCACAGCAGCCTGTGGCTCTGCTGGCCCCGTCCACGGTGTGCGCTGCGAGGGGAGCAGGCACAGTGTGCTGTTAGGTGAGCGTACTGGGTAGGAGTAGCGTCCCGGGCTGGAGGAGGCCGTTGGTGGCAAAGGTGCGAGCAGGGTGTCTGGGACTGTAGGGGAGCATGAGCCCCAGGGGACGATACAAACCCTGTCCTTCTCCAGCCGTTCGCCCCAGGAGGAGGCAGATTCGGCTCCTAACTGTTGTCGCTTCTCTCCCTGGTTCTCTTGCCCTCCGTGCTCAGGCTTGAGGGGTGCAGGTAAGGTTGTTCCCATCTCCTTCCCCCTGTATCGAAAGGCTACGCCAAGCGGTTTTCCCTCCCTGCTCCCTGCCTGGCACCCTGCACACCCCTGCGCTTTCCCCACCGCTTCTGGAGCTGCCGAGTGTCTTCCCAATGCTTTGCCTGACCTCGCCGCTCCCACACGCCGCTTCCCTGCTCCCAGCACACTAACCAGCACAAACCCGGCTGCAGCCGCATGCACCCCCTGCCACCCGCTGTCCTGAGCGGCCGTGTTGGCTCCGCTCCCCGGCTGGGATGGATGCTGGCTCTCCCGGGCTGGGACCTGCTTGCTTGGGGCGGGAGGGGAAGGAGCTGGTGCTGAGCGATGGGCAGGGAGGTCAGGGGGGTGGAGGAAGGGGAGCTGTTTGGGGAGGGCAGACAGGGACTGATGGGCATGAACAGGACAAGATCCTGTCCCCTCTGCCCAGCTGGCAGAGGGAGGCAGAGGGACCCGGGGACCGGATCCTGCCCAGATCCACAGTGAGCCCATCTCTGCTCTCTGCCGGGGGGGACAGCACTGTGGTTTCTCGGTTCTTCCAACTGCAATGGCACTGGTCCCTGTGCTTTTGCAGCTGATGGAAAGGTGGCTGGGGAGGGCAGCCAGGAGCAGGAGGTGGTGGGAAGGGGCACACTGGTCACTGGGCCTTTTCTGAGCAGCAACTGGAGTCTGCTCCAGGCTCCTGCTCCCTTCCTTGGCCATGCTGCTGCCCTCTCCCAGCCATGGGCACCTGGGTGGGCTCTCGTGCCCAATCCCGTCCCCAGGAGGGCCTGATCCACAGTCCTGCCGGGTACACCGGCGTCACTCGTGTTCCTCTTGCTCAAAGAGTGCATGGGGACAGTCCTGGCTCAGGACACTGCTCTCTCTGTCGGCTTCAGCAGCACTTTTGGTGGTGGTTACCAGCTGATCCCGTTCTTCACTGGTGTCTCCGTGGCTGTGCAGCTACAGTGGGGCCCCAGCCAGGGACTGCGGTCTTGTGCTGGGCACTGAACCCACACTGCGGGGCGAGGGGTCCTCCATCCCACTCAACTGCAGGGGCTCGTCTCTGGGGCAGGTTTGCCAGCCCCCCAGCAGGCGTGTTGTCCTTCCAGGGTGACTTTGCCCTGCAGAGAGGCAGGACCTCAGCAGGCATTGCAGGCGGTCAGCTGGGGGATGTCTACAGCTACAGAGGCTTCAGTAGTTCAGGGTCAGACATGCCCTGGGGACACAGACACGTCCCCACCAGGAGCCAGGGGCTCCAGCCCAAGCCCTGCCAAGTCACCAACTCCTCTGCAGTTCTGCGTGATGATGCCTGGTGCGAGGCGGCCCTGAAGCACACGCAGGAGGGAGGGGATGGGGGCAGCGTGCCGAGGTGATACAGACCAAGGAGGGGGAATGGTTTGCACTGGTGCAAAGCAGGAGGATGCTGGGGTGTTACAGGCCCTTCCCGTCACTTGCTGTTTGGGGTTCCATGTATCCTGTGAAATCCATGTATCATGTGCTGGATTTCAGGCATGCCCTTCCTCACGGTTTTAGGTGCAGCCATCAGACACTGTGATGAGGAGAAGGGCTGGCTGGAGCCAGACCTCTTCAACTGCACGTCACCTGCCTTCAAGGAGCTCTCCATGCTGGTAATCCCCCCTCGGCTCTGCAACCCTGACATGAGCCATATGAACAAGGGCTCACAGCCAGGTTTCAAAGATCTCAGTTCTCTGTGGGCACCCAGAGTAGGGCCTTGCTACAGTGCTCAGCACCTTTCTCTTCCTGTCTCCTGCCCCCAGACCCATCCCGTGGGAGCACTGGTCTGAGCTGAAGTTTGCTTTGATTTAGTCTCATCTCTTGAGTGGCCCCATCAGAAATGACCTGTGTCCTGCCCCAGTATTTGAGAGAAAAACAAATAACCCCAAGCAGAGCTGGATTGTTTGAAGCTGGCAGGATGTCTGCCCCGTGGGAAAACCATAGCCCCCATAGACCCTTCAGTGACAAATCCCTTTGAATTATCCAGGCAAGTTTATTAAACACTTGCATCCCACTGAGGCTGAAGTGTAACTGAAGCCGGGAGAGCTTCCAGGGAAGTATCACTAGATGCTTGCCCTGCCCTTCATCTCCTGAGTGTCTGTCACGTATGGTGCTGGGTTAGCTGGGCCTGACCCAGTGCAACCCCTGATGTGTTGCTGGGGGCTGTTTGTCTGCCAGAGATGCTTCCTCTTCTAGCGACCACCACTGTGAGTCTCCCTGGCTTGTGCCATAGTTTCAGAAATCATCTCTGGGCCAAGCGGTGCCCACAGCATCCTGGTTTCCCAGGAGGAACCACTTAATTGTTTAATCCTCTCCTTTTTCCCCACTGGCAGCTGGAGGGCTTGGAGAGGAACGAGACTGAGCTCAACACAATTGAAGCCAAGAAGCTGGCCCACCGGCTCCGGGCTGTGACAGACCACATGGACCACTACTTTGGCAACGACGTGCACATCACTTTCCGCCTGCTGTCCCGCCTCATGGCCTTTGAGAGCCGGCAGCGTGGCTTTGGCCTGACAGCCACGCAGGATGCCCACTTCAATGAGGTGAGTCCTTCCCCCAGGTCAGGGCAGCTGCTGATGCTGCACTGGCTGATGGGCATGGCGGGTGGGGGCCTGTCGTAGCAGAAAGTACCCCCTTACCCGAGCCCTTGTGCACCAGCTGGGCAGAGAACACAGTGCTGCAGCCTGGGGATAGTCAGGAGGGGGCCCAAAGGCAGCGCTTCCCTCACTCCCTGCCCCACATCTCTCTCATGCAGAACCTGCTGCGTGCGGGCAGCTCTGTGCTGGCGCCCGAGAACCGGGAACACTGGGCCATGCTGCCCCACGGGGAGCATGGCAGCGCCAGCCTCATGGAGCAGCTGCGGGACTACTCGGGCACACTGGCCAGCAACATGAAACTCACCTACCTCAACCCCGTTGGCGTCGTCACCCCCAACATCAGTGAGTAGGAGCTGGCTGGTGCAGCGGCCTGGCTGGGGTGCAGAGGCACTCCCATCACAGCCCATCTCCCTCGTCTCACTGCACCTCAGCAAGGGTGCTGGTCCCAGGCTCTTCACCTCCTCGGTGGCTCTCAAATGTGGGGAGGTGGTGTTGGAGACGTCCTGGTTCCATCCCTGCCTAGAGCAGCCCACACACCACCAAGAGCCAGCAGAGCCAGGAGCGTGCTGCCCGCTCCCAGTTACCCCAGTCCAACCTGAGTCTCTAATGAAAAAGCCACTGGCCCCAGTGGCAGAAGTAGCCTGCCCTATGGCAGAGCAAGGATCTGGGCTGGGAAGGAGCATGTAGATGCTGGGATCATTGTGCCCGGCCACGGGACATATCCACAACCCAGCCTGTGGCTGATAAGGTCCCTTTGCTGGTGATGTCAAACCCGGGGTGGTCTTGAGCGTGGCTGCTCTCCAGGTGGCCACCCCAGAGCTGACTTTCACTCCCTTGCTCCTCCGCAGTGCTGAGCATCGATCGCATGGAGAACCACTCCCACATCCGCCGGCGCTACCCGCGCTACCACAGCAGCCTCTTCCGCGGCCAGCCCGCCTGGGACCCCCACACCCACGTCGTGCTGCCGCTGTCGGTGCTGAGCCCCCTGAAAGCTGAAGGTGAGTGTGTGAGCATCACTCGGGGAACAGCGTCACCCCTAAGAGCTCAGAGCTCTGACCACCACATCCCCAAGGCTCCTGGGGTGGGGCTCACCAGCTGCCTTCAGAGCAGCGTGTGTTCTCACCGTCCCCGTGTGCCTCAGCTGCCCCCACAGCAATGCCCACGCCGGCGGGGGGCGAAGGGAACTACACTGTGGAGAACTACTCCCCAAGGCAGGCACCGCCAGAGCCTGAGCCCGCTCTCACTGTGATCATCCTCATCATGTACCGCACCCTTGGGGGGCTGCTGCCTGCGCGCTACCAGGTGGATCGCCGCAGCATCAGGTACGTTACCCCCTTGCCCTCCACAAGTGCCCGTGGAGAGAGGCTGGCTGGACTCTGCTCTGCCCCACTGGCACTTGCCGAGTCTGGGAACCTGTTAAACCATGACAGGAGCCCAGTGGCTTGGGATTGGTCCTGCTGTCCCAGCCTGCTTCCCACCTTGGTGCTGCTCTGCCCTGTGTTTCCTGATAGAAACCCCGTGGTGTGGTTCCTTCCCAGACGTCGGTGCAGGATGTCTGGGAAGTCCCCAGAGGGATGCAGCTGCCAGGCACGGTGACAGTAGAGCTGTGCTGCTCCTTGCAGGCTCCCCAAGAATCCCGTGATGAACTCCCCCATCGTGAGCGTGTCTGTGTTCAGCAATCACACCTTCCTGCGGGGGCCCCTGGACAGCCCTCTCGTGCTGGAATTTCGCCTGCTGAAGACGGCCAACAGGAGCAAACCTCTCTGTGTCCAGTGGAACCACTCCAACCCGTGAGTCAAGCACAGCTGGGCTGCTCGCTTTGAGCTGCTTTCCCCAGGAATCACCTGCTTCCCTGAGTCTCCCTGGCCATGACAGGCTGCGTGCCTGGGCAGCACCGGGACGTGGGCGTTTCTGCCCTCTCCCAGGGCTTTTTTTCCTGCTTGGAGGGCACAGCAGGGTCCCTGCAGGGCTCTGGCTCCAGTGCCTCAGCTGTAGGAGTGCAGTTGTATCTGCTGATAGCAAAGCCTTGCCAACACCCCCTCTGCTCCGTGCTTCCTTCCTCACACACCACGCTCACCTGTCTTCTCTCCTGAGTGCGCTCTGCTTTTTGGTGGCTGCAGGACCAACCCCTCTGGCTTCTGGACAGCCAGAGACTGTGAGCTCGTGTACCGAAACACCACGCATGTCCACTGCCAGTGCTCCCAGTTTGGCACCTTCGGGGTTCTGATGGACAGCTCGCACCGAGAGGTAACCCCAGCCGGCGGGACTGGAGCGGGGGTGGGGGCTGTTAGCCACTGGGTCCTACAATAAGCAGGCACAGGAAAATTCTCTGTGGGACACAAGTAGAGCTCAGCAGGCTTCCCGCATCTCTCCCTAACGCCACCATTTACCTTTGGTTCTCTGCTGCTGCAGCAACTGGAAGGTGACCTGGAGACGCTGGCAATTGTCACCTATTCCTTGGTTGCTCTCTCCTTGGTGGCTCTGCTGCTGACCTTCTCCTTCCTGACCTGCCTCAAAGGCCTCAAGTCCAACACACGTGGCATTCACTCCAACATATCAGTCACCCTCTTCTTCTCTGAGCTGCTCTTTCTCCTGGGCATCAACCGCACTGAGAACCAGGTCTGTGGGCTTGAACCAGCACGCCCGTGGGGCTGGGGGAAAGTTGTGGGTGGTGCAGTTCGCCTTGGCCCAGTGGGACCGTCTCTGAGTGGCATTTGTTTCCCCAGTTTCTTTGCACTGTGATTGCCATCCTCCTCCACTGCTTCTTCCTCTCCACCTTCGCCTGGCTCTTCGTCCAGGGCCTCCACATCTACCGCATGCAGACGGAAGCCCGCAACGTCAACTTCGGGGCCATGCGCTTCTAGGGGGTGCCCGCCATCATCACGGGTAAGAGCTGCCTGTCCCGCAGCCGTGCCAAGCGTGCCGGTTTTCAGCAGCCTGCTGATCCCCCGGGGGTGCCCAGCTCAGCCGGTGGGGAGAGCTGAGGTGGGCTTGCCGTGGCCGGCCATTCTGTGGGGGTCAGCTGGGGCCCACGTATCAGGGGCTGTCATCTTGTTTCCTGTAGAGAAGTAATTCCTCAGTGCGCCTCCCCAGGGCTTCTTTGGGCACAAGGCTCCTGCTGTCCCTGGGCTTGTGGTTAGGCTCTCCTGGTTTCCCAAGCCTGTATGCTTGGGTGGTCTGTTGCTGGCAGGGAATGCCGGCTGAGCTGGGCTGTGCCGTGCCGGGGCCTCCTGGAGAAAAGGCAATCTCGGGCTTGCGGTCCTGATTCCTTCTCCTGTGGCAGGGAAACCTGTACACAGGGCAAGGAGCAGTGAGAGAACCCTCCATAGCTTTCAGTGCTGGGGTGGGATCAGTGTGGCTTGGGCAAGTCTAAGGATGCTGGGTTTGGACCTGACCTCTCCCTCCCACAGGGCTGGCCGTTGGCCTGGATCCTGAGGGCTATGGGAACCCCGACTTCTGCTGGATTTCCATTCATGATAAGCTGGTCTGGAGCTTTGCAGGCCCCATTACTGTCGTCATTGTGGTAAAACCCTGTCCTGTTTCACCCACAGCCCTCTCCTGCCTCCCTCCTCTGCACCATGGGCACTCACCCCTTCCTTGGCTGCCCACTGCCTGCCCCCTTCTCTGTATTCTCCTTCCTCAGTTAGAGGCCCTCTTTCTCCCTCCTCGCTCCAGCAAACTTGGGGGAGGCCATGGCTTGGGTGTGAAGGGGGAAGGAGGGGACGTTCACACGGGCCTGGCGGACCTGGAGTCTGCCCCTGCTCTGCACTGGGGATGTCAAGTCAGAGCCCGCCCTTGGCACAGCTTCTAATCAGTGCCAACGCTTTCAGATGAATGGGGTCATGTTCCTGCTTGTGGCCAAGATGTCCTGTTCCCCAGGCCAAAAGGAGACCAAGAAGAAATCGGTTCTGTGAGTATTAGTGGCCAAACTCCCAGCAGACCTCCTTTGGCTCATGGTTTTTAGCGTTTTCAGTGATCATCCTCTCTCTTCCACCATCGCAGAGTGTCCCTCTGTGCATCAGCATCAGCCTGGCAGCCGCTCTTCTCTCCCACACCTGCCGGCCACGTTAACCCTTCCTAAACTTTGTCCTTTCCTCTCGTTCTGACGTCTCCATCGCCACACTGTCCCACCAGCCTGTCCCCCTTCCCAGCCACCCCATATGTCTGCTTGGACTCAACACTCTGCCCTTGCTGACCCTCAGCACCTGCTTTTCCTTCTCTGACATGCTTGTTCTGAGCCCTTTCCCCACTCCCTCCTGGGCCATCTCTGGAGCTTGGCTCGGCTCCCTGTGGCTCCAAATGACCCGTGTCATTTGGGCCCCTCTGTTTGCCATGTGTGATCCAGAAGGGAAGGCCCAGGAGTTGGGGGGAGCCGAACTGCAGCGCAGAGGTGAGCCAGTGGCGCCGGGCACAGCAGGGAGGGCTGGGCAGGAACACGCTTTCCCCTCTGGATCTCTGTCTGCGAGCGCTAGCCTGTAGATTAACCACACGCACTAACCTCTGGGTGTGTGTCTGTGTGCCTGTCTGTCTGTCTCTCTCTCTCCAGCATGACGTTACGGAGCTCCTTTGTTCTGCTTCTAGTTATTAGCACTACCTGGCTCTTTGGCCTCTTGGCTGTCAACAACAGTGTCCTGGCTTTCCACTACCTCTACACTGTCCTCTGCAGCCTCCAGGTAACTGCCCGGCCTCTGCCAGGGGAGGGCACGGGTCAGCCCGGAGAGCGTCTCTGCAGTGCCCACAGCCATCTGTGGGGCGTGGGTGTCCCACGCTGAGCCCCCAGCATCCCGCTGGGCTCCTTGTCATTGTCACCGCTGCGGCGGTGTGCGGCTCCTGCCAGGTCTTGCTGCCGTGCGCACGGTGAGCGGTGGCACGGAGCAGGAGGTGGCTGCTTGGTGATATCCAAGGGGCAGCAAGGACGGTATTTGGAGGGAGGGGGACT